GTAATACTCATTGGAGACCACTACTTAACTATTCTAGAGGCTGCCAGCTCGGGAAGTCTCTTTTTGTAAAGTCCCACTGTATGGTTATATATGTACTCGCCCCTCTGTTCCGTCCAACAGCGGCAGATAAATTTCATCCATAATTCCCTCTGTTTTACACTAACTTTCCTGCAGTTGATTTGCAGGTATTTGGGTGCATTGGTGCATTTATCAGCGTTTTGTGTATGTGTTGAGTTGCATTGAATATAATATGGAAATGGCATTAAAATATGTTGCTAAAAAAAGGTCTCTTAGAGAAAAAGGGACAGGAACCATAGAGCGAGTGTCTGGTTTGCTTGAACACTCCAGCCTTCATGGCGCCATAAATAGGACAAAAAATGCAATATTAAATATAATTTATAAAAATACAGCACACCCTTTTGCAAGCTGGATTGTAAGCACATCAATCAAATGTCCTTTTAAGCTCTCCAAGATAACCTTGGATTTTATTGATAATTTTATGATACTGTAGTGGAGTGAGATAAACTACTACTGAACAACCACGACACAACAGGTCGACCAGCCTTTACAACTAAAGCTGTTACACTCACTGTTATAACAGACATTTCCATTAATACAACCTGTGGACCAATGCAAAACAGTGCAAAATACTTTATTTTGAGTGAAACACACTCATCATAGAGCCTCAAACTCATCCTCCAAACTACAACATGTGTCTCTGTTTAAACACACAGCAGGCCTATGTACATAAATACATCACTTTTACCAAATCTAACGTTACAGTTCATCAAGAAAAGCAGCCGGAAACAGTCAGTAGACTACAGCACAGCATTTCATATGTGAGAGCATTAAAACAACATAACACAGTTTTGTTCATTTGTATTTTCTGTTTTTCTACATGATGATGTTTGACATTTACTTTTTATCATGAAAGTCATTAACTTGCATTTAAAGCCAAAAATCTACTCACACATGAAGGAGTAATACACAACAGTGTACCACCAATTACAATCAATCAGTAACTGAACACAAATACGAATAAAACTAAACAGAATCAGCAGTAAACTGAAAGCTTAACGGCATTTTATTCTACTGTACATCTCAGCAAATGTCACATATTGTAGTGTAGAAGGATTCTTATATACAGTCTGTACAACCTCCTGAGCACCTGCTGCTCATTTCAACACAACATGGTAGCCGTCTGTGTTTTCATCTGGAAACAGAAAGCGAAGCAGTGAAAGATCACTCAACAGCACATTAAAGTATGATGGAAGCTGAATGTTTGTAACTTAAAGGTGGAAGATAATTACCCCTTGTAGTGCTGAGGATGAAGCTCGTTTCCTCCCTGAAGTTCTGCACCATCTGAAACAAAAAGGATCGACCCGTGTTAACTGCAGTCCTCCCTCCTGACCCCCCAGCTCTGTGAGCCAATGGGGGTAACAGACGTAGGTAGATGGTTATATAAACTAAAGACAGGACTGTACTGAACTCATTACATGTATGTCACATAATGTAACAGCTGTTCAGCCTCGCAAACACTTAAAGGATAGAGAGAAACATTTTAAACTCCTGATTATACACTTACCGTAAAACTTCCAATAAAAGCAGGGTCCCTAGTGGACGCAGGTCTCGTTTAAAAGCCTAGCGTGGTCTACAATAGAGGCCTCGTCTGGATTTTATAGAAATTATCTCTCTAAGTATAAAACCTCTTAAAACCCAACCGGGTCGCCCGCTTGACAACAAGTTTTAAGACGTTTTGATCTCCTTGACAAATATGAATGTTTAAACATCATTAGATCAGTTAGATTCTCCACAATTCAATCACTCACTATATTTTGCAAAAACTATCAACACAAAAGTAAAACGTTAATTTTTAATAAAAAAGAGAGACGGAAACAATCAACTCTAAAGCGATCATAATGTTCATGTTAGTTGTCAAATGTGCTAAACAAAACTCAAGAGAAGCAGCAGTTTAGTTTAGTTTTGTGCTAAAGGAATTAAATCCCTGTCCCTAATAGAGGCAGGGGGAATTTAGTGGTTTAAGCAAATAAACGCCCAGGCTTTTATTAGAAGTTTTACGGTATACAGCGATGATTTGTTGCATGACATTTAGTTTTTAGGAAATAATTACTGAGCTCCAGACTACAGCCACGATTACAGTGTTCAATACTCTAGAGGAGAGTCTTCTCATTGATTGCACTTTCTTTTGTTCTAAATCTAAATCTAGTTCAGTAATTGTCCATACTGTCTCCAGATGCAGTGTCTTGCATCTATAGATACACAGACCAAACAGGCTTACAAGACAGACTATCAGTGTCCATGAGGTGGTAGGTAGGTGTGAGACCAAATACAGATTATAGGAAAACATGAATAGTTATTATAGTTATTATAATATTCTGTATGTCTTTATATTTCAAGCTGCAGTAGGTTACTTCTATAAAAATAACTTTTTGTCATATTCTGACATTGACATGAGTCAGATAATCCGGCTCCTAATGGGATTTGGAAGAATCCACCGGGCCCGAACGAAACCAACCAACCATTTGTGAACAGCGTGAGGAGTTAGGGGCTGATACCTCGTCGGAGACTATGACGTGGATCCCGTTGGGTTTCTGTCTGTAGATGTGTGTGATTTGCTGCGGACTGATGTTGTACAGCAGCGCGATCTTCTCAGACAGGTCCAACAGTGTCAGCTCCTCCAGGTACAGAGCGTGGTAAACTGCAGGGGGGGGATCACATCATTCACTCTCAGAAGGTTTTTCTAGTAGAAGTAAAAGTCTTCTCGTCAGTATTTCATATTCTAGATACCCAAAATATGTGATAACATCATTTTAAACTATATAATATAGATACTATATATACTAATATAGAAGAATAATGTGACTCTACTTACTCATTTACATACAGTGTTGACTTTATTAGGTACATTTTAACAATCTAATGCACTCCAAGTCTACTTTCATAGTTCCTATAATGGTTTAACCATGAGCTCAATAATAAACACATAATTATAATTGCATATTTCCAACCTAATGAGCTTTGTAAAGATGTTATGGGCAGGGTTGTTGTATCAGATTGCATTATATCACTGTGTATCACTCCCAGCACCACCAGTATGGCATGACATTAAAGTACAGCAGCGACAGTGCATACAGGAGGCAGCTTTATTACTTATTACAAGATTATTTATTGTTGTTGAATCTGGTTGATACTGAAACAAAATATTACAGGAAA